TGTGGTGTGTGTGTTGTTGTGTGTTTTGTGTTTTTGTGTGGTGTGTATGTGTGTGTGTGGGTTTTTGTGTGTGTGTGTGTTGTGTGTGTGTGTGTGTGTGTGTGTGTGTGTTTTAGTTAGTGTGTGTGTTTTGTGTTTGTGTTGTTGTGTGTGTTGTGTGTGTGTGTCTTTGGTGTCTGTTTGTTCGTGTCTGGTGTTGTGTGTTGTGTGTGTGTGTGTTGTGTGTGTGTGTGGTGTGTGGGGGTGTTGTGTGTGTGTGTGTTTTTGGTGTACTCACATATTTGTACTACCTTTTTGGGGGTTGCAGGGGTCGAGTCATAGCTCCTGGCCCCGCCTCTTCGCTGATTGCTACAGGTCCTCTCTCCATGTCGTTTTAGAACTGGGCCCTTTTGTAGGTGTGTGTGTGGTGTGTGTGTGTGTGTGTGGGTGTTTTGGTGTGTGTGTGGGGTTGTGTGTTGTGGGGGTTGTGTGTGGGTGTGTGTGTGGGGGGTTGTGTGTGTGTGTGTGTACCACCTTTTTGTGGTTGAGTGGTCGAGTCTTAGTCTGGCCCCGCCTCTTCACGGTTGCTACGGCCCTCTCTCCCCCCCACCCAGGCTTTATTAAACCTCGTCTTAAAACTGTGTATTTTCCTGCCCCCATACTCATTTTTGGCTATTCCACTCCCTTCAATCTATGACTAAAGAAATACTTCCTAAATCTCTTACTCTTTTTGTGCTAACTTCCAATTTGGCCCTTTTTTTCTGTGTCCCCCCCTGGAACATCCTGCTTTGTCCCCCTTGTTTATTCCAGCAGAAATTTATTGTGTTACATTTTCCCCCCTGCCCCTTTGTCCTCCAGGTGTAGGCCGTTTTCCCCTTTAAACTTCTTCATAGGACATTCCCCTTAGCTCTGAACTAACCTTGCGCAAACCTTTGTCTTTCTTAGTTTCTTGAGTGCTTTATAAAGTGGGGGTTCCCAAAAACAGGTGCTGCAACTCCAGATGGGCCTACATACACGGTGTCAGGTTTTGAACGATTCCTTACTAGGTATGGGGAATTGTTCTCGGGTTTGCCGGCCCCAAATCTGCGCAGTTATCTGATTATGTGTGCTTCCGGAGAATGTTCGGGTTATATCACCCCAAGATCTTTCTCCCTTGATTTGGGGTTTTGCAGTCTTTGGACCTAGCCTATACTCTGTCTGTGGTCTTCGTCCCCTTCCCCTTCTTCCATACTTTGCATTTGGCAGGATTAAATTCGAAAAGCCATTTGCGGACCAGGTGTCCATCGTCCAGGTCCTTTGAAGTCCTCCGGGTCTCATCAGTTTTAAATTCTCCTCATTAACTTCACATCATCTGCAAACGGGGGACACTTCTGAGTCAACCCTTCCTCATGTCTTTCCAATATCCCAAAAAATAGCACTGGCCCTAAAACCGACCCCTGTGGGCCCCACTCGTCACAGGTGCCCCCTGTGATAATCATTACGTACCCCTGACTCGTTGTTGCCTCCCGTCAGGGATTCCTTTATCCTTGCAGTGCCCTTCCGTTTAAAGACCTGATGCTCTGCTTTGACTAATCTTTTCTTTGAGGAACTGGGGTCAAAAGGGCCCTTTTTGCAGTCCAAGAAGATGCAAACAACCCACCCTCCTTCATGTCTTACTTCTGTTTTTTTATCTAAAACTCCAGAAGGTTTTTTGACACAGGATTTCCTTTCCATGAATCCGTGCGGTTGGCATTTATACTCTTGTTTCCCTTCCCGGTGCTCCCACTCTCATCCGATAATCTTCTCCCCTAAATTTTTCATTACACGTCATGACACAGGGCTTTAGTTTGTGCCTCTTTTCGTCCCCCTTTTTTAAAAAGGGGAAATACATTTGCCATTTCATACCTCAGGTAGTTGCCCATTGGGGCGTGTTGAAGATTGTGGAAGTGGCACGCACAACTATCTGCTCCCTCTCTAAGGACCCACGGGGGGTGTTTTCCGGTCCCATGCCTTTTAGGGACGATTCCCCCTTCAGTGTTGTGGTGTGTGTGTGGGGTTTTGTGTGTGTGTGTGTGTGGGTGTGGTGGGGTGTGTGTGTTTGTGTTTGTGTGGTGTGTACTCACCCAGTTGTACTCACCTATTTTAGGTTGCGGGGGGGCGATCCGGCCCTTTGGGCCCCCTCTTCCTGATCGCTACTAGGCACTCTCCCGACCGTGGCTTTATCGCCCCTGCTTAAAGCTATTATGGATCCTGCCTCCCCCCTAATCGCTTCCAAATATTCCCTTTTTGCTCTCTGTGGCTGAAAAAAATTTCCCAACATCCCTGTATTTCTCTGTGTCTTTGCTTCCCAACTGTCCCCTTGTTTCTGTTCCAACCGGAACACCTTTTTTGCCCCCCTTGTCAATTCCCCTCAGTTTTTGATTCGTTATCATGTCCCCCCTATTTCCTGTCCTCCAGGTTGTCGGGTTGGGTTTCCCTTAACCCCCTGTAGGACAACCTCTTTGCTTGGGATAGCTTGTTTCAAACCCTTTTCCTTTTTATTTTTTCGTGCTTGGGTAGGGGGTGGGTTCCAAACTGGTCCGCATTTCTCCAATTGGGCCTAACGTATACGGTGTAACAGGGCCTGAACGTTCCTTATTAAAAATGCGGAATGTGTTCTGGGGTTTGCTACCCCCATATCTCGCAGTTTTTTTGGTTGATGGCGCTTCGGAGATTCCCTTTTTTGTTATCCCTCCCCTCATGTGTGTGGTGTGGGGTGTTTTTGTGTGTGTTGGGGTGTGGTGTGTGGTGTTTGTGGGGTGTGTATGGGGGTGTGTGTATGTGTGTTGTATGGTGTGTGTTTTGGTGTGTGTGTGTGTGGGGTGTGTGTGTGTGTGGAAAGTGGGTGTGTGTGTATGTGTGTGTGTAGTGTGTGTGTGTGTGTGTATGTGTGTGTGGTGTGTGTGTTGGGGTGTGTGTGTGTTTTTGTGTGGTTGTGTGTGTTTTGTGTGTGTGTGTTGAAAGTATGTATGGGGTGTGTGTGGGGTGTGTGTGTGTGTGTGGTGTTGTGTATGTGTGGTGTTGTGTGTGTGCTGTGTTTGTGGGGTGTGGTGTGTGTGGTGTGTGTGTGTGTGTTGTGTGTGTGTGTGTGTGTGTGTATGTGTGTGTGTGTGTGTGTATGTGTGTGTGTGTGTGTGTGTGTGTGGTTGTGTTGTGTGTGTTGTGTGTGTGGGTGGGGTGTTTTGTGTGTGTAAAAATCGGGGCCCCCTGGAACCTGAAGGTTAAAATTTAATATGCTTGTTTGGGGTTAAAACCGGGCCCCAAACCCTTCGACCCACTTCAAACCTTTCCCCTCCATTTCCAAATAATCCTCCTGCTTTTCCACCCCCCCCCACTCTTCCCCCTTAAAAGCCCTTTTCCACCCCTCCCCCACTTTCCACAAAACAAGCCACTTTTCCCCCCCCCTCCCCCACTCTTTCCCAAAAATTTAAAAACCCACTTTTCCACCCCCCCCCACTCTTCCACATATCAAGCCACTTTTCCCCCCCTCCCCCCACTCTTCCACATATCAAGCCATTTTTCCCCACCCCCCCCCCCACTCTTCCAATATAAGCCACTTTTCCACCCCTCCCCCCCTCTTCCCCCATATCAAGCCATTTTTCCCCCCCTCCCCCCATCTTCCAAAAACAAGCCATTTTTCCCAAACCCCCCCCCCCCCCCACTCCCCCCACAAAATCAACCCATTTTTCCCCAACCCTTTCCCCCCCACTTTTCCCCCCAATATAAAGGGCCAAACTTTTCCACCCCCCCCCCACTTTTTCCACAAAATTAAAACCCCATTTTTTTCCCCCCCTCCCCCCCCTTTCCACATATCAAGCCACTTTTCCCCCCCTTTCCCCCCCACTCTTCCACATATCAACCCACTTTTCCACCCCCCCCCCCTCCCCCCCCTCTTCCACCCCCCCCCACTCTTCCACTTTATCAAGGGGATTTTTCCCAAACCCCCCCCCCCACTTTTCCCACATATCAAAAGCCATTTTTCCCAAACCCCCCCCCCCCCATTTTCCTCACATCAAGCCTTTTTCCCCCCCTCCCCCAACTTTTCCCCAAAAGTCAAAGGACTTTTCCCCCCCTCCCCCCACTCTTCACTTTAAAGAATTTTTCCACCCCCCCCCCCACTCTTCCACATTTCGGGGGCACTTTTCCCCCCCTTCCCCCCCTTTTCCCAACATTTCAAGCCACTTTTCCCCCCCTTTCCCCCCATTTCCCAATTTTGGGGCCATTTTTCCCAAACCCCCCCCCCCACTCTTCCACATTTTTAAAAGCCACTTTCCACCCCTCCCCACTTTTCCACATATAAACCCCATTTTTCCACCCCCCCCCCCATTTTTTCCACATTTCAAGCCATTTTTTTCCACCCCCCCCCCCACTTTTCCAATATAAAGGGCCATTTTTTCCCACCCCCCCCCCCCACTCTTCCACACATAAAACATTTTTCCCCCCCTCCCCCCCCTTTT